GTGTGTGTGTGTGTGTGTGTGTGTGTGTTTGAGCTGGCTTGTCTGTTGGCACCTCTACTCATTTCCCCTCTTAAATCCACGTTCTTGACATAGCTGAGCTCAGCCTGCACAAACACAGGGGCCGTATTAAGCTTGATAATCATAACTTTGTGTGTTTTGACTCACCCCCCTCCCCCCCTCCAGCCGACCGGGCGCCATGCTGAGGCAGATCCTCCTCAACTCCACCGACGCTCCAGACTTCGACCTGGTRCTCATGGCCCAGTCCGCCGCCGCCACGCACGCCCCCGCCTCCCTGAACGCGTCCAACGGCGGCTCGGTGAGCGTGGCCGCGCTGCTGAGGCCCACCGCTGGGAGAGGGGGCACAGGGCTGCGGGAGGGCGAGCTCCACAAGCCGGACCTGATCACCTACATCGTCATGTGCCTGCTGCTCTTCCTGCTGGTGCTGCTCATTGTGTTCTTCATCAACTGCCAGCTGCGGAACTCCTTTTTCGCCTCCATGCCATATGACAGGTCACTGAGAGAGGCCCGGACCTACAAGTAGCCCCTACCCCTGCTCCTCTTCCCCTCTTGCACACAAGGGCAAACCCCTGGACTTCTGAACMTCACGGAGTTCGAAGGAACTGCTGCTGGATCTATAATCCGGAATCTAATCAGTGAAGGACTTAATGATGTGACACATCCAAGCTTTTCAGTGGACTGTGGCAGGTGGAGAGATAAACTCCGTGAAACAGTGACTCACAGGCCTGTGCTTTCTGATATATTTAGTCTAAGATAATGGCCAAAAACGTGCATCAATCATTTGTTATGATTCACCTGTGTGCTCTCTGCAAAACCGAAACAAATGTATTCCAGTGACATCCTTCCAGTAAACGTCCCAGTACAAATCTGACCTGGCGCCTGCGGTTTGKGCCTGTTTTTCTTCATGAAACATGACTCACACTGATTTGTTAAYAGTGTATAAAAGAAAAAAATAATAATTTTGTAGAACTGTAACCTGAATGTCTTGTCTTGTGAATCAATTAGGTGASAATTTCCAACCTTTTGACAAAAGAAAGGACAGACTGTGCGGGAGGGAACTAAAAATACCCTCTGAAGTTTTGTGAATGAGAAACAACACAGATGACGTCGCTGCTGCAGCTGCTGATGTGAAAGGCCAGCTGTTTTAAAACGGCCACTGAGGCATCTATACGGCTGCCACAGGGCCGCTAGCCTTATCAAGCACCTTCACTTTTAATTAACTTCTCCCTGACAATTTATAGCGTCATTACTATCGCAGCGAACGGAAGGCTTGAGGCTGAAGTATGATGAGTCCTGTGTTACTATATGACCAAACCAAATGGTTGTGTTTTTTTTCTTCCACAGGGCCACTGGTGATCCACAAATCCTGTCCAATCTTGTTGTCTGAAAACATCTCTCACACGCCAAGACAGATAAAATGAGCCTATATCTCTGAAATCATGTCCCTTAGTGTGTATGTGTGATCACAAGTTTATGTCTGAGACAAAGTTACACWATGAGCACTATACCCAAAGAAAAGTGCAGTGAAATAATGTTTTGAACATTTACTCTCAGTGTRTTGTCTGCATACATATATACAACTGGAGGGTATTAGGCTATAAAAATGGGAAACCGGGTGACCTTTGTTGTGTAGAGATCTCTGCAATGAACTATATGTTTATTAACCAGATTTTGATGAGATGCACGAGATGATTTATTTATTTATTTGCAGCTTATTTCCTCCCTGCCTTCATAATAACTTTGCTTGTTTTGATACTTCCTGCTGTTATTATACTAACCACTTGGTGGAGCCCCAGGTCTTGTTTTTGTTTGTTATGCACAGCATGGTTACAGAGCAAAATGGCAAAAACACTGCAGCAAAGGGAGCACTCCTACAGCCTTTAACAAATATAAATGAGTTTGGGGGCTAAAAAAAAGCTGAAATTTTGCATTACAAAATAGCACGAACTAAAGCAACAAGATTCGAGTGAATCACTTCAGTGAGGAGGATAAAATGTTGGGAAACTATAATTTGTTATTAATCATTTCAGTGCACACAGATAGGAGCTTTGGGGCTAATTATCTCCCTCTTTTCAGAAACACAATGTAGGATGAAATGCCTGTGTACTATCAAGCAGCGTTTGACCTTAGAAGAACAAGGAGCTGTGTTTTTGATCATTGCTAAAGTCTAAGTTATGGAAATTTAAACAAGACGAAGAGAACACTTTTGTAATTTGAACAAGATAAATACACTGGGCAGGGCCAAATGGGAGGATACTATTAATGGGTTTTTAATTAACCTGTAGGGAACATGTTCTTTCTTTTATGCAACAAAGAAAGCACAAATAAAACTTTTAACCTACTTAGTCTATATCCAGCTAAGTGGAAGACCACATAGCAGAAGCTGCTATTCCTCCCAGAGGAACCAGTTTTTGAAGGCTGAAGGCAGTTTTGATCTCATTTGATTATTCTTTTTTTTTCTTCTCCTCATCATCTTTGTTTTAAAAGTCTAGAATGTAACAAAACCTTTAAAATCCCCTCCCTGTGTAAGCGTCTAAACGCAAGTCCTGACTGGTGAAGGCACGTAAAGTCTGCAGCGTGAGGAGGTGACTGTGTGAACCTTGTGTCTGGACTGAGCTGAGCTGTCACTTAAATCCTGTCTCAGGTGCAGCTGCAGGGCGCATGCTCCACCCCGAGCCTCGACTGTCAGAAGAACAGGAAGACGGACTCCTTTTTTTTTTCTTTCAGAAATTCACTTCCCCGTTGTCACCCAGGGGTTAAAAAGTTGCCCAAAACTTTTAGCTGTCATGGAAGCCACTTTTGGACACGCTGCTGAATCTAGACACCGGTAGCGCCGACTCGTCGTCCTCGTTGTTGTCGCCGAAAAAAACCAAACAAACAGCTCGTGGAGGTGGACGGAGAGGCGGCTTTACCTAACTTAATTACACTGTAGCCCGTACTAGCTAGCTTGGCTAAAGCTAACATTAGCTCGGGTTTGTACCGCATAAATTCGGTGACTAAACACTCACCATATCAAAGCTGTGGATTGTGTTGCTTGTAGGAAGTTGTAGGCTAATGTCCATATAGTATTCCTCGGACGCAACAGGTTGTTTTCGTACTTCTCGTCCTGAAGGACTTTTGGTTGTGCTTTGAATTTCCCTCCTTSGGCGAGACGGACAGGCGGCTTTAGTGGCTTGTTTGGCTGTCTACCAAACCATCAGCAAAACTGTGCTAATTGTAGCTAACTAGCATGCATAGATAGGCCCCGAGGAAGTCACTGTTTTTTTTTTTTTCGCAAGTTAAGCAACCGTCTATTTTGTTGTCTACGAGGGGATTTTGTCGGATCAATTTATTAAAAATGGATCAAAACACGGGAAACTCTGCCTCAGGCGCTGGACTCAAGAAGGACAAGAAGTCGAAGAAGAGCAGCGAGGATGGAGACAGCAAAAAGAAATTTGTGAGTATCTGTCTCTGGTTTTTGGCAACACTTTTGTGTGAAACTTGGAGCAGCCACACAACACTGAAGTTGGGGCCCAGGTGTTTAACAAAACTCTACTCACTGATGGTTAGGCTTTCTTCCTCTCGAATTTCACCTACAGCTGTGAACTGACAGCGTACCTGTAATTACTGTCACCCCCTGAGCTTGTGTTTACCAGCTGTGTAGCGTTTATGATTCAGATCAAAGTTCTAGAAAGTGAACATGAGGAAGTATCCTTTTCTGTATTTAAGACGTGAAAGTTGCTGTGCCTCATAATTACACACATTCCTGTCAACAGATTATAACCCAATTTAGCATTCAAAAAACTATTTAATACTCATTGTGGTCGCAGTGTTTCCCACAGAGTTGTTGTATGCCAATCTGTGCATCAGTCACATCATAAACAAGGGATGTTTCTGATCTAATAACTGACTCACTAGAAAGGTGTGGCTTGCATTTCCTTTAGGTGACCTAACGTTTCTGCATAGAGGCAGTGGCAGTTTGGATGATTCAGTGTGGTTAGTGGATGACATTAGTGGAGAAGAAAAATCAACACACACTCTTGTGTAACTTTATCCCCTGGTCTCATCTAGCAACAGGTGCAAACTGATATTGATCATAGTGGCAACCAGTAACATTAGAGGATGTTTAGATAACATAAACAAGATCACAGGGCTGTTGATCACATCCATTATTTTATAATAGAAAGTTATGAAACGCTCAGGATTTCCAGTGAGAACTTTAAATGACTGCTAGRGAGAGAGTTGTTGGACTTTTGATTACCAGGAGTGGCAAGTTAGCATAGTTTACACAATTGCACAATTCTGGATGAGTGAGCAATGCCTTACAGTGACTGTGCAAATAAGTCAGTGTGTGTGTCCAGCTCACTTTAGAATGAGTAATGCCCCTCAAAGTACCTCCATAGTATGTTTATAGATGTTAGAAACTAAAACATAAGACTCAGTCTTTACTAAATTTAGTGTCTTAAAGTTTAGTAAACACGCTAGATCAGTGCCTTTCTCTCAAACATTTCTGTGCTGTGCCCAACTTAGGAGATATAAACACATTTCACAGTTACTTAAATAATGGGAGTCAACTTTAACTTTAACTGGGGCAAGTGTAAAATAAACTTTAGATTTCTCTTAACGCTCAGCTGCCCTTTAATCAAAATGACGTATGAGAACCTCCTGGGTCGGTTTAACCAAAGGTCAGCAGGAGGATTAGTCTTTGTGTCAAAAAATGTATCTTTGTGCCATTTTATTTTTAGRTTATTTGAAAGTTTAAGATCTCAACTTTGTTAAAAGAATACAAAACAAGGTGGGGGTGGGTGGGAGTGCAGTCACCTTTAAAAACATAAAAATAAGTTCATTGTATGCAGAGAAATTTAACAAATGAATATATGAAATATTCACAGTCAAAAGTCTGAGCAGGTAATTGGCAGAACTAGTTCTTTCATTAGTGATGGTTGTCATTTTTATTACAAGTTTAATATTTTATTCTTCACTTACACAGTTTTTTTAAGTGATTTTTCAGCTTTGTAGTAATTATCACATTTTCTTTTAAAATATACTGAATAGCTCACATGGCTGCTGGTGTGTAACATTAAATTCATTCATCCATTCTTGTTTGGAGTTGTGTTGCTGGGGCAGCAGCTCGAGCAGAGAAAATAGAAAATATTTATTTATTTATTTTTGCCTTACCACCATTCACTGTAATTCCAACAACATTAATTCAGTTTGAAACAGTCTTTCTTGTCCTCATTTGTCCACAGTTTTCTCACTTCAACCATAAACACTCGTACAGTTTGTCCCTGATTTGAAGTGACATCTCCTCCAGCCAACAAACCTTTCCTCCTACAAAAGAAAGAAACTATTGCCTCTCTGTTTATCATCACTTTTATCTGGGTCATGCACTGGCTGACCAATAAAGAGTGGAACCAATCTCCACTATCTTGTTATGCATCTGTATTCTCTGGTCTGTCACTAAAACAAATTTGATTAGCAGTGTTTAAACAATGGTTTGTCTAGCAGTTTTTTGTGCCTAGGGAAGAAAACAGATTGATGAAGAGCTCTCCTTAGAGGTTCCACAGTTCAAGAACCACTGCACGAGATACAATATTATGAACCGAATTACTCTTACATGCATGTTTAGTTAGATCCTAACTGGCTTTGGTGCTCCGTGCATGCTTCCTAGTCCCTGCTGTCTCAAAGCTTTGACATGAAAGCATCAGAAGTAAGTGATTGCTGATAAGTAGAGTTTTACAAATAAAATAAAATAAAAATACATAAATAAAAATAGATGGCAATAAAAGAAAATGTGAAAGAATAAACAAAATGCACAATGCTGTTAAGCTGCCCATCACTACAATCTCCCTTCAGCTATATACATTTGCTGGTTTTAAGTCTATGATGTGGAACAGTCAGAAGTCCAGCATTTCCAGTCTTGAAGGGGGAACACGTCTCCACCTGTCCCAGTAAAACATAATGCAGTCAATAAATTGATTTTTTTTTTCTCCTGTGTTGTGCATCTCGGGACACAAATAGCAGTTCATTAGCTGGACCTAACTGCTGATATAAATCTACAAACTGAGGTGTGAACCTGTTCCAGCACAATCTTTATTACACCTTTGTTATAGTTCAGGCAGAGGTGCAACGTTATAAAAATACTTGAGATGGACTTGATTTACAGTGTTGAATAATCTCAGCTTTCCTGTCTGTGCTACCAACTTATCTATGACCTCACCACATTCTGCTTTCAACTTGTCTCTGGCATGGCAATACATTTTAATATATGAATTCTTTAATATATTTTTGAAACTTTAACAAAAATCATAATTTTTGCTTTATTAATATATTTAATTTCACYGGGCTGCATCCAACCATTTCACCCCCTAAAGCTAATCCATGTAATGTTAAAGTGTATTTCTGCTGCCACACAAAAACATAAAGGATTGGTGTAATGTCCCCCTGCTGTGTGTAAGCTCGTCTGGAAGCCAGAACACGTGTGCGTCTGTGCAAGGCTCAGTCCACACACTTACTTGGCTCCTGGAAAATGTAAACTGCAGTTGTGTTTCACAGAACTGATTAACACTACACACTGTGTTTACAGGTGCATCAGTTTCTAAACGTCGTTCAGGTATTTAGTATGAAACCAAAAGCTGGTCATTTTGACTCAGRCCTCCGAGGAGCCATCTAAGATCCACAGAGACAGAAATTGAGAGGTTTCAGCATTCATGAATGTTGTTGATATAAACAGGTATGCTGGCTCAGCCCAGCAGGCAGGAACAGTGGGGATTAGCCTGGGCTCATTGCTTTGGACAGTTGTTTGGAATGCAAGGTGAATTTGAGATCACAGGTTTTGGCTTTAGGTTACTGTTTTTGTTTTTGCATAATTTTCCCAGCTGATTCAATGTTATGGTCCACATAATTAGGTTTGACTGCCGCTCTTACTGTTGTGCTGCTCTCTTCTGTCTGGAATGGGACTTAAGTGAAACATATTAGCCAGTAATTTATTTCTATATGGTTTTTATTGGAAATAGTACATTTTATATTCATCGCCTGCCACCAAAAGACAAGGGCAGATGGTAACACTTTAGCCCATATGGATGTATATGTGTCTGTTACCAAAGTAGCTAATGTCCTAGATTATGAACATCACAAAAAGTCATCATGGAATGTAAATCTAAGTGTTTATTACTTGGAGGTCCCTTTTACAGTCAGTTCAAGTTGTTTTTCACAGYTAAATGATGTTAACCTTCGCAAAAATGGCTATAACTCGGGTCAGTTTTGCAGATATTGCCCCAAAAATTGGTGGGGTAGTACTTGAGAACAATTCCCAACACATAATTTTCAACGCTGTCAGAATTTTCAATTCAGTTTCAATTCAGTTTATTTATATAGCACCAAGTCACAACAACTTCTGTCTCAGGGCACCACCAACCAACCAACCAACCAACCAACCAACCAACCAACCAACCAACCAACCAACCAACCAACCAACCAACCAAAGAAAACTATAAATCTAAAGAAGCCAGCAGAGTCTACTATCCAGAGCAGCACACTGGTAGCAGTGGAGAGGAAAAAACTCCCCCTTAACAGGAAGAAACCTCCAGCAGAACCAGGCTCAGGACAGGCAGCCATCTGGCTGGACCGGCTGGGTTGGAGGACAGGAAAGAGACAGCCAAACACAGAAGAACTGGTCCAGGTGTATTTTCCTCTGGAAGAGAGACAAAGAAAACRCATATTGATAAAAATAATTGTGACAAACATGTAGAGAAGAGAGACTAAAGACAACAGCAGAGTGAGGAAATGTGCTCAGTTTGTGCTCCAGCAGTCTAAGTCTATAGCAGCAGAAATGAAGAATAATTCAGGAAACCTAAGTCTAACTAGGATTTATCAAAAAGGAAAGCCTTCAGTCTAATCTTAAAAGTAGACAGAGTGTCAGCTGCACAGACAGAAACTGGGAGTTGTTTCCACAAGAGAGGAGCTTGATAAATGAAAGCTCTGCCTCCCATTCTACTTTTAGAAACTTTAGGAATCACAAGTAAACCTGCAGTCTGAGAGTGAAGTGCTCTGTTAAGAAAGTATGGAACAATGAAATGTTTAAAATAAGATGGAGCTTGGTTGTTAGAGCTTTGTATGTTAGAAGTAAGATTTTAAATTATATTCTAAATTTGACAAGGAGCCAGTGGAGAGAAGCTAAAACTGGAGAAATATGATCTCTCCTTCCAACTCTCATTAAAACTCTAGCAGCAGCATTTTGGATTAACTGAAGACTTCTTAAAGAGTTATTTGGATGCCCAGATAATAAAGAATTACAGTAATCCAATTTAGACATGATAAATGCATGAATCAGTTTTTCCGCATCATTTTTGGACAAGATGTTTCTAATTTTAGTGATATTATGCAGGTGGAAGAAGGTGGTCCTGGTAACATTTTTAATGTGGGATATATATATATATATATATATATATATATATA